CATCTCAACGGATTTCGATGGTGCCCTATTTAACGTGAATGCAGCCGTCTCTAAAGCATAACCCCAAAACGATAGTGGTAAATCAGTAAGAGACATCATAGATTGCACCATATCTAGTAAAGTACGATTACGACGTTCGGACACACCATTACACTGTGGTGTTTCCGGGTGGCGTGAATTGCGAAACTATTCAGTATTTTTTCAAATGTAGACCAAACTCGTAACTCAAATATTCTCCTCCACGATCAGATCGTAGAAACTTTATTTTCTTGTTACGATGATTTTCAACTTCACTCTGAAATTCTTTGAACTTTTCAAATGTTTCAGACTTATGCTTCATTAAGTAGATATACCCATATCTGCTTAAATCATTTGTGAATGTGAGAAAATAACGATATCCGCCACGAGCCTCAACATTCATCGGACCACATACATCTGTATGTATGATTTCCAACAAATCTGTTGCTCTCTCCATAGTACCGGAGAACGGTGTTTTAGTCATCTTGCCCATGAGGCACGGTTCGCAAGTACCAAGTGATTCATAATCAAGTGATTCCAAAAGTCCATCAGTATGGAGTTTCTTCATGCGCTTTATACCGATATGACCTAAACGGCAGTGCCACAAATAAGTTGCACTATCATTATCAACTCTCTATCTTTTGGCTTCAACATTATGAATATTTGTATCACTACTATCGAGATTCATCAAAAATAGACCGCTCTTCAGGGGTGCATGACCATAAAAGATATTACTCATATAAATAGAACAACCATTATTCTCTGATTTAAATGAATAACCGTCTCACATCAAACAAGATCCATATATAATGTTCATGCTCAACGCTGGTACCAAATAATAATTATTTAGGTCTAATACTAATCCCAAAGGTAGATGTAGAGGTAGCGTGCCGACTGCGATCACATCAACTTTGGAACCATTTCCCACGCGCATCGTCACCTTGTCCTTCACCAGTGTTTGCTTAATCCATAGTCCCTGTTTCGAGTTGCAAATATCAGCAACAGAACCAGTATCAAATACCCAGGTGCTACTGTGAGCTCTAGTAAGGTACACATCAATAACATGTATATCACATATACCTTTGTTCACCTTGCCATCCTTCTTATCTGCCAAATACTTGGGGCAGTTCCGCTTCCAGTGTCCAGTCTGCTTGTAGTAGAAGCACTCAGTTTCAGGCTTAGGTCCAGATTTGGGTTTCTTCTCCTGAGCAGCAACTTGCTTGTTGTTCTTCTTGAAGTTCCCCTTCTTCTTCCCTTTACCCTTTTTCTTGAAACTGGCGGTCTTGTTGACCATCAACACTTGATGCTCCTTCTTGATTTCTACCTCCGCAGCCTTTAGCATTGCGAAGAGCTCGGGAATCGTCTTATCCATCCCTTGCATGTTATAGTTCATCACGAAGCTCTTGTAGCTTGGTGGCAGTGATTGAAGAACTCTGTCAATGACACTATCAACAGGAAGATTAACTCCCAGTTGAGTCAAGTGATTATGATACCCAGACATTTTGAGTATATGTTCACTGACAGAACTATTCTCCTCCATCTTGCAGCTATAGAACTTATTGGAGACTTCATATCTCTCAATCCGGGCATTTGCTTGAAATATTAACTTCAACTCCTGTAACATCTCATATGCTCCATGACGTTCAAAACGTCGTTGAAGTCCTGATTCTAAGCCGTAAAGCATGTCACACTGAACTATCGAGTAGCATCAGCTTTGCTCTGCCAGACGTTCATAACATCTGGTGTTGCTCCAGCAGCAGGCCTGGCACCCAGCGGTACTTCCAGGACGTAATTCTTCTATGCAGCAATGAGGATAATCCTCAAGTTACGGACCCAGTCCGTGTAATTGCTATCATCATCTTTCAACTTTGCTTTCTCAAGAAACGCATTAAAATTCAATGGCACAACAGCACGGGCCATCTATCTACAATCAAACATAGACAAGCAAGATACTATCAGGTACTAAGTTCATGATAAATTTAAGTTCAATTAATCATATTACTTAAGAACTCCCACTTAGAAAGACATCCCTCTAATCCTTTAAGTGATCACGTGATCCAAATCAACTAAACCATAACCGATCATCACGTGAAATGGAGTAGCTTTCAATGGTGAACATCAATATGTTGATCATATCTACTATATGATTCACGCTCGACCTTTCGGTCTCAGTGTTCCGAGGCCATATCTGCATATGCTAGGCTTGTCAAGTTTAACCTGAGTATTCTGCGTGTGCAAAACTGGCTTGCACCTGTTGTAGATGGACGTAGAGCTTATCACACCCGATCATCACGTGGTGTCTGGGCACGACGAACTTTGGCAACGGTGCATACTCAGGGAGAACACTTTTATCTTGAAATTTAGTAAGAGATCATCTTATAATGCTACCATCAATCAAAGCAAGATAAGATGCATAAAAGATAAACATCACATGCAATCAATATAAGTGATATGATACGGCCATCATCATCTTGTACTTGTGATCTCCATCTCCGAAGTACCGTCATGATCACCATCGTCACCGGCGCGACACCTTGATCTCCATCGTAGCATCGTTGTCGTCTCGCCAATCTTATGCTTCCGATATCCAAATATAGGCTTCCAATATATCAATATTTATGTCTCGACCATTTCGAGACTCCTCGTCATGTCCGTGATCACATCCGGGACTCCTAACAACCTTCGGTACATCAAAACACAAAAACCCTAATTACGATCATCACCGAACTTTAAGCGTGCGGACCCTACAGGTTCGAGAACTATGTAGACATGACCGAGACACATCTCTGGTCAATAACCAATAGCGGAACCTAGATGCTCATATTGGTTCCTACATATTCTACGAAGATCTTTATCGGTCAAACCGCATAACAACATATGTTTGTTCCCTTTGTCATCGGTATGTTACTTGCCCGAGATTCGATCGTCGTTATTCCAATACCTAGTTCAATCTCGTTACTGGCAAGTCTCTTTACTCGTTCCGTAATACATCATTCCGCAACTAACTCATTAGCTGCAATGCTTGCAAGGCTTAAGTGATGTGCATTACCGAGAGGGCCCAGAGATACCTCTCCGACAATCGGAGTGACAAATCATAATCTTGAAATATGCCAACCCAACAAGTACCTTTGGAGACACCTGTAGAGCACCTTTATAATCACCCAGTTACGTTGTGACGTTTGGTAGCACACAAAGTGTTCCTACGGTAAACGGGAGTTGCATAATCTCATAGTCATAGGAACATGTTTAAGTTATGAAGAAAGCAATAGCAACAAACTAAACGATCAAGTGCTAAGCTAACGGAATGGGTCAAGTCAATCACATCATTCTCCTAATGATGTGATCCCGTTAATCAAATGACAACTCATGTCTATGGCTAGGAAACATAACCATCTTTGATCAACGAGCTAGTCAAGTAGAGGCATACTAGTGACACTCTGTTTGTCTATGTATTCACAAATGTATTATGTTTCCGGTTAATACAATTATAGCATGAATAATAAACATTTATCATGATATAAGGAAATAAATAATAACTTTATTATTTCCTCTAGGGCATATTTCCTTCAAGTATGGTGTGTGAGGTGCAATGGCACGAGAGGGCGGCGGTTTAGTAAGTACGTGACGGTGTGGAGGGCCCCGACCCAAAATGGGGGAGTGAGCTTGGCTTGGAGTAAAAGCATGCGGACGATGTCATTTGTTGTGCGAATGAGTCGTTCGGCTTTACCATTTTGGGGGGAGGTGTGGGGGCAAGAAAAGCGATAGACAACGCCATTGGAAGAGAAGAAGGAGCGGAGGGAAGAGTTGATAAACTCACCACCGTTGTCACATTGCATGCTTTGGATTATGACATGAAATTGAGTGTGGACATATGTGAAGAAGCGTTGGAGAAGGCTGGAGTTGTCGGACTTGTGGCGCTTAGGAAAAGACCACGAATAATGCGTGTAATCATCCAACACAATGAGGTAGTATTGATATCCAGAGAAGCTTACAACCGGAGAAGTCCACAAATCACAATGAATTAACTGAAAAGGAGCACATGTTTTGCTAGTAGAGGAAGGAAAAGGGAGACGTGGTTGGCGCCCTAGTTGGCATGCACTACATAGAGAGTGCGGTTCCTTATTACAAATACTAAGAAAGTCATGAGACAATGTGGAGGGAGTGTGAGCGCTTGGATGTCCAAGTCTTCGGTGCCACAATGCCGAGGAAGTGGTGAAGAAAGCGGCCGCCCGTGCCGGTTTATTGCCAATGAAGGGGCAGAGGTCGCCGGTGCTAGCGAAGATCATGAGAACTTTCCGAGTGCGTAGATCCTTCACAAGAAAACCACACGGATAAAATTCAATGGAGTAAGAATTGTCCTTAGTAAACTTGCGGACAGAAATAAGACTAGTGACGACATTGGGGGAGACAAGAATATCTGTAAGCTTAAAATCATGAGGGGGGAGGGTGGTGGAGCCGGTGGCAGTGACGGGAAGCGAGTGACCATTGCCAACAAGAATGCTACGAGGAACATGCTTTAAAGAAGAACTAGACATGGCGAGGTTACCTTGAGTGCTTGTCACATGGGAAGATGCGCCGCTGTCGAGGTACCACTCGGCGTCGGGATTGGTGGGGAAGCCGGAGTTGCTGTAGGCGGCGTTGAGCATGGCAAGGTGCTCCCATGACGGTGGTTGGGGTGGGTAGGACGGAGGAGGCGGTGAAGGCTGGTACACCGGGTAGGCGTGTGCATGGGAGCCGGGGCGCGGGCCAAGCACACCGGCGGCATTGGGCGGCACCCAACCAGAGCATGGCGAGGGGAGCGCCATGCCGTAGGGCGCAAAGTAACTGGTGAACGGCGAGAACTGGAGCTGGGGTCTAGAGCCGTGACCCGATTGGTCGCCTCGGCCACGCCCACGGCCAAGGCCGCGTCCGTGGCCACGGTCACCGCCATCGGCCGAGCGATCTCCGCGTCCACGACCAGGGCCGGACTGCTGTTGGGGAAGATGGCCCTGGCAGTCGTTGGCGCAGTCATCGCCGGAGCCACGAGCACAACCACCAGAGCCACTGCTCTGGCCGCGGTCACCGCCGGGGAGCGCAAACGTCGAGGCGCTCTCCTCAGCGGCGTGCTGCGCCTGGGATTCCTCGGCCAGGATGACCCGAGAGAGGACGGTGTCGAAGGGCAGCTCCTGGTCGCCGAGAACGACCCTGATGGTGTCGAGGCTCTTGTCGAGGCCGTGAAGGAACTGAGTGCGAAGATCCACCTCGGTGACGGCGTGCTCAATGTCGGCGAGGCCGTCGGTGAGGAGTTTCATGCGCCGCGCGTACTCGGCCACGGAAAGATCACTCTGCTTGAGGTTGCGATACTGCCGGTTGAGGACCATGAACCGGGCAGCACGGTTGGCGAGGAAGAAATCCTTGATCTTGTGCCAAAGGGCGAAGGTGCTGGTGGCGCCGACGACGTGATCCACCATAGAGTCGGCGAGCGTGGCGGAGATCCAGAGAACGACATGGGCATCGAGCTCAAGGTAGGCGACATCAGCGTTGGGAGGAGGAGGATGCTCGATGAGGAACTTTGACGCCGTGGCGAATGAGAACCATGAGGAAGAAGGATTTCCATTTTTGTGGTAGTTGTGATCCGCATGGTTGAGAAGAAACTTGATGTGGTTGGAGATGTGGTCGTTGTAGATGGAGAGGCGGGGAGCAGAGGGCGGCGGTGCCGTAGGGGCAAAGGAGAAGAGAGGCGCAAACTGCGATCCGGCAGAGGCGAAGCCGCTGCTGAAGAGAGAGGGTGTTGTATCGAAGACGAACGACGGAGAGGAAGTAGAGGAGGAGGCCGAGGCGGTGGTGGCGGCGGGCGCCGTGGAGAAAAGAGAGCCCGGCGAGGTGACGGAGTCCATGGCGGCGGCGGACGGCGAGGAGTTTGTGCCGGCCATGGAGAAAACCTGGAAGCAGCTGATAACAAGTTGAAAACAATATTTCCTTGATTGATGATTACAGTTACAGAATACAGAGGTTAAGTAGGAAGAGTGAAGCACCAGTCGCCCTACAATGTAGGCACGCAGGCCATGGCGAGACGTGATCCTACAGACCCGAAATATACAACAAAGTATACGCTATAATGTACAGCTGAATATACACAGATTCTAACTACACGTCAGTTGCAAAAACTAGTAGTGATGGCCATGGCGCATGGGACACGCGGCTTGCAGAGAAAGCGGCAGACGCGTGGCTGCGATCCCCGCGTGATTTATAGGCTTTCCCATAATATTTGTGCACTTTGCGGCATTTTCCCCTGCCGGTTCTGCACATCACAAATTCCCAGGGCGCGGCTGCATATTCCTCTGCATATTTGGTGCGCCCACCACCACCCAAATGCTGGACTGGGAGACGTGTCCCGGCCTGAATAGGCCACGCAGAGATCCCCGGCACGGATCTCCTCCTGTCCACCAAAACCCAGCGGTAACAGCCAAAAAGATTCCTCCCGCTTCCTCGCTCCTCTCTCTCGCGGACTCCGGCGGGTTTATATCTCGCGCGCTCGCAGGCACCCCGAGCCCACCCGCGCCCGTCCCCGTTGCCACATTGCGTGATTGCTCGCGTCCATGGAAATGGTAGAGTGCTCCCTGGCCGCCTCCCGCGCCGCGAGGCCCGTGCCCGGCCGGGTCCCGAGGTCCCCGGCGCCTGTTCTTGGTGTTGGCGCCGGGAGAGCCAGGCTCCGGGTGCGGTCCGAGAGGCGGGAGCAGCCTCCGCCGGTCATCAGGGCTTCCGCGCCGCCGGAGCACGACGGAGGGGCGCTGGCGAAGGCGGCCGCGGGGCTCGCCGCCGCTGCCGTGGTGTCGCTGACCGGGTTCGCCGGGGACTTGGCCCCGCCGCCGGCGCTGGCCGAGTCGCTCACGGTCGCCTTCCCCGTCTCCAAGGCCCGAGAGGTGGGTGTCGGTGGTCCTACGCAGACACCACCTTCCAAGAAAGGGGAACTTTGGGCTGAATTTCTCGTTTGGGTTCTTCTTGGCAGGTGAACCGGGTGCAGAGGACGCTGGTGGAGGCATGGGGTTTGATCCGTGAGACCTTCGTCGATCCCACCTTCAACCACCAAGGTATACCGGGTTGCATACACTTGTTCCTGGTGCCGTTTTGAATTAATAACTTAGAAAGGTCGTCGAAGTTTGGTGGTGTGTTTGATTCTGCTTATAGAGTTAAAGTGAACTACTAGTGTTACCAGTGTCTGTGGTTCTGCTCGGTGTGCAGACTGGGACCAGAAACTTCAGCAGACGATGGTGGAGATGTTCCCGCTGAAATCGGCAGACGCCGCCTACGGCAAGATCAGCGGGATGGTGTCCACGCTAGGCGACCCCTTCACAAGGATCATCACCCCCAAGGTATGTATGGACAAAGATCATGCCCTCTCTGTCTGGCTTCAGGTTTGTTCTCACACATGGTGAATTGTCACATAATGTTTGTTTGGTGAGATGCAGGAATATCAGAGTTTCAGGATCGGAAGTGATGGGAATTTGCAAGGGGTTGGCATATTCATAAACAGGGACCCTGCCTCAGGACGCTTGGTAAGTTCACTTCTCCTTTTTCTTTTCTGCAAGAGGACATCATAAGAGTGTTGCAATTTATACCTCCAAACCTTCTTGCAGCTTGTTATGAACTGCATTGAGGGAGGCCCAGCGGACCGAGCAGGCATACGTGAAGGCGATGAGCTAGTTGAGATCAACGGTATTTTACTCTCTGTACTAAAACTTCATTTTAGTAAAAGGAGATGCTTATGTACTTTTGAAAAGCCTTCCCTGTAAATTCATATCAATCTGAGTCACACATCGATGACCTATGTGGCTAAATAACATACTGAAATATTCGGCTGATATTGACCGTTGAGAAGGCTATAAAAACAACAATGTTCATTGGTCACAACTGATAATATTTAAAGATGACAGAGGCTAGTCGATTATCCCTACTAATAGATTTTTTTATTGCCCTTTCTATCTATTAACAATAAAAAGGCAACCTGGTGCATGTAGCTCCCGCTTGCGCAGGGTCCAGGGAAGGGTCCGACCACTTTGGGTCTATAGTACGCAGCCTTTCCCTACATTTCTGTAAGAGGCTGTTTCCAGGACTTGAACCCATGACCTCATGGTCACAAGACAGCAGCTTTACCACTGCGCCAAGGCTCCCCTTCCCTTTCTATCTATTAACAATGACCGAAACTAAAGAAAATTTGCCAAAAGTATGAACTATATGGTGTCGATAAATAATATGATCCACACGTGTCTCTGAACAATTAAGGCATAATGGTGTCTTTGCAAAAAAATGTATCTTGTGCAATTTAACCTTTGCAAAACAACTTAGTTAATCTAATCTTCTTGAGTTCCTTTTCCATCATTGGAAAACCAAGTTGTTCTAGATTCAAGAACTAGTTTTTTCTCTCCCGCGGAAGTGGCATAGCAATGCAGAGATTAATAGCACATGTTCACATACTACGCTTATCTGCTGATGTCACAGATGAGCGGTACATCCTGATTGATTGTGGTTTTCTAACTAAAAGGGTGGAACTTCTATTTTTAACTAGTCTTAAGATGGATGGTGCAGTCTTGTTGTTATTATTGAGTTCATGAGCTCTCCTTCTTTTCATAATACGATATGCCCTTAATCTCGACTGGTTTTGTAGGGAATAGTGTTTTGGGGTTGGACGTGGAAGCTGTGGCTCAGAGACTTAGAGGTCGTGCTGGAACGACTGTGGAAGTAAAACTATTGGATGTATGCCCTTATCCTTAGCCTCAACTTGAGAGTACTTGTTAGTATTTTTCTATCTGTATTTCAAAAGCAACATTTCTCAATCCTAACTCTTTGTTACGTAATGATCACATCCAGATTCTCAGTTACACACTCTTGTCATCTTCTATCCTAACTTTCTCCATCTTCCTGTATTTTCTAACTGATACCCAGGGTACTGGAAATGAAAGGAGTGGTAGGATAAAGGCAAAAGAGGTATATGCTTAACTTCTTTTCATTACGTAATAAAAACTTTCCTGAAGACGAATGCAGTAAATAAAACATGATAACATCAACACTGTATTTAGATTCTCTTATCCTCCTTGAAGGAAAAAATATTTCTGGACTTCCTCTTCGAACATTCATGGCTAAAATTTTCCATTTGTGTGATTTGAAAAGTGTTTTTTTAAGAAAAGGAGGATCACCCCCGGCCTCTGCATCATTACGATGCACACAGCCATATTTTATTAAAATTTAAGAGTCTCGGTTTCCAACATCAAGTAGTACCAAAAATTATTACAAGCCACAACCGGCAAAAATAGGAAAATATGCCTACACATAGCCTATTATTGGACCGCCATCCAAACTGGTTGTATTTATCCTGTGCTACCATCTCCCATTGGTTGCACCCATAGCCTATTACTGGAAATGAAAAGTGTTGCATTGTTCAATTTAATCCAAGATGTGTTCAGTATCCCTCATTAAGCATATGATATTGTACTTTCCTAATTACAAGTGCACATTTTATTTCCAAAAGGTCCAGCTATCTCGTGAGGTTATCAATCTTTCACCTCTATCAACGGCAATTATCTCCCATAGATCGGGTGATGGGCATGAGGGCAAGACTGGGTATGTTAGGTTAGCTGCATTTTCTCAGGTAAGTACCAATCTTTGTTATATTTTTGCACTTGCAGTTTTTTATAGATAATCAAAGTTGTAATTTTGTACTTCTTCTTAGTACAAAACTATATAGCTCTTTCATTGCTTTCTACGCGACATTATCATACCAAAGACATTTCTGCTGTTTTGAGTATTCCAGCTTCCAGTCATACTGAAAAATGGATCCAAGCGATAGGTTGTTCCATGCAAATGTGCATGCACATGTTATGTTTTAATGTTTTATTCTTTTGTCATCTATACACACCGAAACTCACTAAACTAATCATTATTGATATTTGAGATCCTTCACTCATGTTTTATTTATTTTTCAACCCAGACTGCTGCTGCTGAAATGGAAAGGGCCATTAAAAAGATGGAAGATCAAGGTGTCCAGTCATATATTTTAGATCTGCGGAATAATCCAGTCAGTCTGTTCTCATCACAGTCTGTCTTTATAAATCATAATTTCGATGCAAAAATCATGTATTAATGTTACTTCCTATAACAGGGTGGTTTAGTAACAGCTGGTCTTGATGTGGCTCAAATTTGGTTAGATGGAGATGAAACTCTAGTGAACACCGTTGACCGTGAGGGCAATGTGCAAGCAATAAATATGGTCCAAGGCCAATCTTTAACACATGATCCTCTTGTGGTGCTTGTGAGTACCCACTCTCTGCACATTTCTTTTCGAAAAAAAACTCTCTGCACATTTGACTATGTGGTCTTTGTTGCTTTTTTAATCCGCGTGGATAGAAAATTCATACAATTTACTATTCATAAGATTCACATTCTTCCATCATGTTTTCCCGCTTTCATAAAGGGCAAGCAGAATAGAGGTGCTGCTTCACTGCTAGTTCAGTTTTTAATCATGATGTTTTAGTTCTCCTATAAGAAAAAAGAGCAAAACCACAAACTTATAATACCTCACAGAAGGTACTATCTCTGTCGAAATAAAGAGAGCCCCCTCAAGTTTTGAGCTAACTTCGATTTTAAATTTAACTAATAAAATATGAGTTGTATGTTATAAGACTTATACTATTGGAAACCTCTTTCGAATAAGAATCCAATAGTATACTTTTTACAGCATATAACTCATATTTTGTTAGTCAAAGTTAGGCTCAAAATTCTAGGAGGTCGTATGTATTTGGACGGTAGGGTACTTCTCACTTAGTGAGACTACTTTTGAAGCAGAAATATAGGCCTGACCATTAGGCCAAGTCAGGTAGTTAACATTGGATGAATCTCCAAAATTTATATGTTTTTTTTTTGGCATTTGCAAATGAGCACAGTTACATATGATTTTTGTTTTAGTACTGCAATATTTGTTTTCCTCAAATACCAGCAGCACACGAATGTTTCTTTGTTAACATTCATTTATAGAATAAGTGAAACTGTTTTTTTTATGCGAGGCCTCTCGCTTGTGTTCATGTGTGCCAATATGTAGGTCAACGAAGAAAGTGCCAGTGCAAGCGAAATTTTGGCTGGGGCATTGCATGACAATGGCCGTGCTATTCTGGTAGGCCACAAAACCTTCGGTAAAGGAAGAATACAGGCAAGGCCGATTTCTCTAGGCACTCATGTTACTGTGTAGATCTAAATGCTTGGATTTTATCATGCTTCATTCCAGAAACATGTATAACTGAACCAAACCTTACCTTCGTGCAGAGTGTGACAGAGCTGGACGATGGCTCTGCTCTATTCATCACGGTTGCAAAGTATCTCTCTCCGGCGCTGCACGAAATCGACCATGTCGGGATCCAACCCGACATACAATGCACCGCTGACGCGCTATCCTTACCGAGGGCGCCTTCGCTCACCGGGAACAACGAGGCCGCGAGTTTAGAGATGGACTCGTGCATTATGGTGGCGGAGCAAGCGCTGGAGATTCAGCAATCGAAGGGCTCCGCTTCGTAGATGGTTTCTCACTGATAGCCAGAACCGAGCCATCATATGTTGGCTACATGTACACTGTTGTATCCTGCCTTGTAGAGTATATATTCGTTAGTATAGATTGGATCACTGGATAGTGATGTAGCAATGTATAGGCTGATCCTATGTCGTTAGATTTGTAGGTGGTGGAGCATGGGTTCATGGGTCATATGACCGGATCAACGTCGTTGATTGGACAGCTGATCAGGTTTTGGGATTGTAACCTGTATTGTTGTATTACAGCACATTGGCTGCCTGGCATCATTGTCATTTATTCTGGTACGAGCTAGCGGAATGCACGAGCTGAGGTACCGCTGTAACAGACGCAAGAACAAGTGAAAGCTGAAAGTTCTAGCGGTGCGATGGTTAATTTACATGCATCTGACACTGTTTAGCGACATTAAGCAGCACCGAAATGGAAATGCGGTGAGCTACACTCGCCTAAATCAAAAACTTCTACCGCGTGCGTACGAGAACATGCTGAAGTTATAGATGGACGTGATTACAACTAGACGCACACTCACATTACATTATTACAGCATCTACAACTGGACCTTTCAAACCCGCATCATACGTCCGGGTGGGCTGCCCGGTCATTGACCAGCCATGATTTTTCAACCCAGACGGACGCCTCAAACGTCCGGGATGACTGGCACCCCTCCATATCCATCCCAAATATGGGACGGATATGAGGACGCCCGGGCACGCCCGCCACGTCGGACCCGGCCCATGCTGGCCCACTCAACCCCACTTATATCCGTCCCCATCCTCACGCCGGGGCAAACCCTAGCCACCTCACTACACTGCCCTCCGCCACTCGAGCTCACCTCCGGCGGTTTGCGGCCTTCTCCATCATGGCAGGCAGCGGATTAGACTCCGACCAGTCTTTATCTGTCGACTGGAGTGTCATCCCGTGTGGGTTGGAGGAGGCAATGGCAGTCTGCATTGCACTCCGCCGCTCCCGGGAGAATAGCGCCCGGCCGACGGACGGATCCGTCCGCCGCGACGCCATAGCGTTGGCTCACCGGGTGCTCGGGTCCTCTAGTGTTGGATCCTCGTGGTCCCGGCCGGAACACCTCTCCTTCCCCATCACCGGCAGGGCAGACTATGAGTCCCACTGGGAACGGGCGGCCCGCCGTGGGAAGGGGAGGATAAGGGCCGCTGAGGCCCGTATCGTGACAGAAATGGCGGCGGCGCGGGGCGACCGTGGAGGAGGAAGCCATCCGCGCCCGCATTATAAAGAAACGTGTTGGGGAACGCAGTAATTTCAAAAAAATTCCTACGCACACGCAAGATCTATCATGGTGATGCATAGCAACGAGAGGGGAAGAGTGTTGTCCACGTACCCTCATAGACTATAAGCGGAAGCGTTATGACAACGCGGTTGATGTAGTCGAATGTCTTCACGATCCGACCGATCCTAGCACCGAAAGTACGACACCTCCACGATCTGCACACGTTCGGCTCGGTGACGTCCCACGAACTCTTGATCCAGCTGAGTGTCAAGGGAGAGCTTCGTCAGCACGACGACATGATGACGGTGATGATGAAGCTATCGGAATAGGGCTTCGCCTAAGCACTGCAACGATATGACCGAGGTGGATTATGATGGAGGGGGGCACCGCACATGGCTAAGACAATTGTCAACTTGTGTGTCTATGGGGTGCCCCCTCCCCCGTATATAAAGGAGTGGAGGAGGGGGAGGGCCGGCCCTCTATGGCGCGCCCTGGAGGAGTCCTACCGGGAGTAGGATTCCCCCCACCTTCCCTAGTTGGATTAGGAGAGGAAGGAAGGGGGGAGAGGGGGAAGGAAAGGGGGGGCCACCCCCCCACCCAATTCGGCTTGGGATTTGGGGGCGGGGCCCTCCTAGGCTCCTTTCTCCTCTCTCCCACTATGGCCCAATAAGGCCCATATACTTCCCGGGGGGTTCCGGTAACCTCCCGGTAGTCCGATATATGCCCGAACACACCCGAAACCATTCCGATATCCAAGCATAGTCATCCAATATATCGATCTTTATGTCTCGACCATGTCGAGACTCCTCATCATGTACGTGATCATATCCGGGACTCCGAACAACCTTCGGTACATCAAAACACATAAACTCATAATACCGATCGTCACCGAACGTTAAGCGTGTGGACCCTACGGGTTCGAGAACTATGTAGACATGACCGAGACTCATCTCCGGTCAATAACCAATAGCGGAACCTGGATGCTCATATTGGTTCCTACATATTCTACGAAGATCTTTATCGGTCAAACCGCATAACAACATATGTTGTTCCCTTTGCCATCGGTATGTTACTTGCCCGAGATTCGATCGTCGGTATCATCATACCTAGTTCTATCTCGTTATCGGCAAGTCTCTTTACTCGTGACGTAATGCTACATCCCGTAACTAACTCATTAGTTACATTGCTTGCAAGTCTTATAGTGATGTGCATTACCGAGAAGGCCTAGAGATACCTCTCTGATACACGGAGTGACAAATCCTAATCTTGATCTATGCCAACTCAATAAACACCATCGGAGGCACCTGTTGAGCATCTTTATAGTCACCCATTTTATGTTGTGACGTTTAATAGCTGCTACCTCTTGAGCACTGCGTTGGTTTTCCCTTGAAGAGGAAAGGGTGATGCAGTAAAGCAGCGTAAGTATTTCCCTCAGTTTTTGAGAACCAAGGTATCAATCCAGTAGGAGACCACGCGCGAGTCACCTCGTACCTACACAAATAAATAAGAACCTCGCAACCAACGCGATAAAGGGGTTGTCAATCCCTTCACGGCCACTTGCAAGAGTGAGATCTAATAGAGATGGTAATAATAAGATAAATATTTTTGGTATTTTTATGATATAGATTGAAAGTAAAGGTTGCAAAATAAAATACATTGGAAACTTGTACGATGGAGAATAGACCCGGGGGCCATAGGTTTCACTAGTGGCTTCTCTCAAGATAGCATAAGTATTACGGTGGGTGAACAAATTATTGTCGAGCAATTGATAGAAAAGCGAATAATTATGAGAATATCTAGGTATGATCATGTATATAGGCATCACGTCCATGACAAGTAGACCGACTCCTGCCTGCATCTACTACTATTACTCCACACATCGACCGCTATCCAGCATGCATCTAGAGTATTAAGTTCATAAGAACAGAGTAACACCTTAAGCAAGATGACATGATGTAGAGGGATAAACTCATGCAATATGATGTAAACCCCATCTTTTATCCTCGATGGCAACGATACAATACGTGTCGTTTCCCTTTCTGTCACCGGGATCGAGCACCGCAAGATTGAACCCAAAGCTAAGCACTTCTCTCATTGCAAGAAAGATCAATCTAGTAGTCCAAACCAAACTGATAATTCGAAGAGACTTGCAAAGATAAACCAATCATACATAAAAGAATTCAGAGAAGATTCAAATATTGTTCATAGATAGACTTGATCATAAACCCACAATTCATCGGATCTCGACAAACACACCGCAAAAGAAGATTACATCGAATAGATCTCCAAGAGAATCGAGGAGAACTTTGTATTGAGATCCAAAGAGAGAGAAGAAGCCATCTAGCTACTAGCTATGGACCCGAAGGTCTAAAGTAAACTACTCACACATCATCGGAGAGGCCATGGAGTTGATGTAGAGGCCCTCCATGATCAATGCCCCCTCCGGCGGAGCTCCGGAAAAGGCCCCAAGATGGGATCTCTTGGGTACAGAAGGTTGCGGCAGTGGAAATAGGGTTTCGTGGTGCTCCTGGATGTTTGCGGGATATATGGATATATATAGGAGGAAGAAGTAGGCTGGTGGAGCAACGAGGGGCCCACAAGGGTGGAGGGCGCGCCCCCCTGCCTCGTGGCCTCCTTGATTGTTTCTTGACACCCACTCCAAGTCTCCTGGATCACGTTTGTTCCAAAAATAACGCTCCCGAAGGTTTCATTCCGTTTGGACTCCATTTGATATTCCTTTTCTGTGAAACACTAAAATAGGCAAAAAAAACCAGCAATTTGGGTTGGGCCTCCGGTTAATAGGTTAGTCCCAAAAATAATATAAAAGTGTATAAATAAACCCATTAACATCCAAAACAGATAATATAATAGCAAGGAACAATCAAAAATTATAGATACGTTGGAGACGTATCAATAGCACACTAAGTGTTCCTCCGGTATTCGGGAGTTGCATAATCTCATAGTCATAGGAACATGTATAAGTTATGGAGAAAGCAATAGCAGTAAACTAAACGATCATCGTGCTAAGCTAACGGATGGGTCAAGTCAATCACATCATTCTCTAATGATGTGATCCCGTTTATCAAATGACAACTCTTTGTCCATGGTTAGGAAACTTGACCATCTTTGATCAACGAGCTAGTCAAGTACAGGCATACTAGTGACACTCTGTTTGTCTATGTATTCACACATGTACTAAGTTTCTGTTTAATACAATTCTAGCATGAATAATAAACATCTATCATGATATAAGGAAATATAAATAACAACTTTATTATTGCCTCTAAGGCATATTTCCTTCAGTCTCCCACTTGCACTAGAGTCAGTAATCTAGATTACATTGTGATGATTCTAACACCCATGGAGTCTTGGTGCTGATCATGTTTTGCTCATGAGAGAGGCTTAGTCAATGGTTCTGCAACATTCAGATCCGTGTGTATCTTGCAAATCTCTATGTCTCCCTCCTTGACTTGATCGCGGATGGAATTGAAGCGTCTCTTGATGTGCTTGGTTCTCTTGTGAAATCTGGATTCCTTTGCCAAGGCAATTGCACCAGTATTATCACAAAAGATTTTCATTGGACCCGATGCACTAGGTATGACACCTAGATCGGATATGAACTCCTTCATCCAGACTCCTTCATTTGCTGCTTCCGAAGCAGCTATGTACTCCGCTTCACATGTAGATCCCGCCATGACGCTCTGCTTGGAACTGCACCAACTGACAGCTCCACAATTTAATAAAAATATG